ACTGCCTTGTCATGGGGGCAGGGGGGATCTCTGGAGGTCACCCAGAGCTGGCCCAGAAGTGCCAACTTGCTTCCCTCTGGAAGCTCCTCCAGCTGGGCTCATTGCTCATTAACAGATCTCCTGCTCTTTACCAACAGACCTGTGGCAGTGGGAGGAGCCCAGTGCCAGGCAGCAGTTGGTGTCCTGGAAAAGCCACGGCATGATTGCCTGGCTGCAGTTCCCTTCCTGGGATCCATGCAGGGATGGTGTTGGGAGCTGGGGAGTGCTGGGGGCTGCTGAGCACCAACACTCGGTGCTGCTGACCCCTCCTCACTGCTTTCCTACCATCCAGGGGTGAAGTGGGGCACAGACCCTCACCAAAGCCCTCCTCCAGCCTGTTAGGAAACAGAGGGCAGCAGGGCTGTGGGATGGGGATTGCTCACTTCACACACAGAGATTGCCCCACCGGCACCTCTATTGAGTACAAGAGCTCTCAGCAAGTTTATGGCACCGAGGCCAGCGAACTGTTTGCTCTTCCCAGATTTCCGGGGGAGGAAGGAGAATGCAAAGCTCTAGCCTGATGGGTTTTGCAATTGTTTGGAAAAATCCCCAGATCGAGAGGTGAGATAGTGCTCTAGGGAGCCGCAGGGGCATTTGGGGACTTAAAGGACAGCCAAAAAAACCTGCCCTGTCAAAACCTGCCTGCAGAGGTTCAGAGAATGGCCACGCCCTGCCCAAGCATCACCCAAGGGTACTAAAAAAAATGCTGGAAAGCGGAGAAGATAGTATCAGCCTGGAGGCAAACAATGCAGCAGCAGCAGCAAACAAAGCAGGAAGGTATTTCCAAGCACAAACACACTTCCCGGAGAGCATGAAAAAGCCATCAGTGACAGGTCCTGTTCAGGGAGAGGAAGCACCAAGGGTGTTATGGGGCAGGACAGGCTATTCAAGGCAGTGATGCTTGCACCAGAAACCTCTTGCTCATCATCTCTAAGCTGTTCCCAGCACAGGGAGCTGCTTAGCCGGGCTCAGCTGCTCTCCCAAGGCAGCTCATCCCCTGGGTGCCTGCAGCTCAATCTTCGTCCAACTATGAGGGTACCATAGCCCAGCTCCCTCCTGGCTGCTGCACCCTCTTCCAGTGCTCTGCAGGTCCAGGCATGCTGCCCAGCAGGACAAACCTGGCACCAGGCATTCCCAGTTGAACTTTTTTACAGCCAGTTCCTTGGGAAAAATCCGACTGTTCATTTACTAATTTTAGGGCAGTGACTAATGGAGCTGAGTGCTACCTGGCACAAAAGGCACCAGGGGAGGCTTTGGCTGGTCATGCCAGGGGAACGACATCTGCATGGCTCCAAGGGTGCCAGCTCTGAATTTCAACTGAGCTGGGTGCCTTGGGAGACTGACCTCACTCCACAGGCTGTAAATCCCAGTGCAGGAGGCTCCCAATGAGCACATTTGCTTGTGCAAACCCCAGCCAGCATCCCAGCTTGTCAGGTGGGACATTCTGCAGCCCTTGCTGCCTCAGAGAGCGCTGTGTGGTAAAGGCAGCATGGTTTATAACCTATATAATCCAGAAATCTGGTTTATAAGCCCAGAACAGGATCCAGGGAGTTCACCTGCGATTTCACCAAAGGTCGTGGGATGATAGAGGGAAACTACAGGAAAAAATATCCAGAGCTTGGATTAGATAGAGAGCAGAGCCTGAAATCGCAGGATCAACACCCTTCTGCTGGGCACAGGACCTTGCAGCGCTGCCGCCCTCGGGAACGCAGTGTCCAG